ATTATATATCCTCCAGTTCAGGCAGGAATGCTCAGTACCTCCCTCAGGGCAGGAGGTTCCTTAATAGGTGTGAGGACAAGAGCAACTCCTATCTGGCAGGCCTCTTAGCACCTGGTTTATAGCCTGAGGAGTCAGGCTCTATGTGCAGATGGTGTAAATGGTTCATTGATAACAGTTTCTGGGAAATGACATGGAAGGCTATAGAATACCCAGTTTTGAGTTACACTCATCCAGTGATGAACTGGTCTCAGCTGTCCTAACTAGGACAATTCTCTAGCTTCAACATTCCATTTCTGCTTCAGTCTTCAGTCCTTCCAACAAAAGTGCCTATTGTTTCTCTTCAGAACTTTATGCTTATTGGAGTAGAGGCCTTTTTGTATTCTCAAATTCAGTTAAATTTCTACAGTTGCTTTGGAAAGTGTCCCTTAATGTGTGTTTACTCCAGATTTTGAGGGGTTTTAAAAAAAACCCAACATAATGATGAATTTTGAAGCTCTGAATTACTGAATTTAATTAATTATTATTTTTTATCAAAAACTTATTAATGTAGAAGATCCTCTACCCTTATCTGACATGTGGCATTCAGTTTTCCACAACAGACTTGGGAAATAAACTTGTTTGCCTGAAACGCAAAGAAGTTCCATATCAGTACCATTTCTTACATATATCCAAATTCCTAAGTATTGAACAAAGATATGCTGAACTGGGATGAAGTTTTGGAAAAACAGTTGACCATGTTTTTCAGAATTCTTAACTGCTATTTAAACACTAAGAAGAGTGGCTGGTTTTAATGGATCAGTGACATCACTTTCCAAGCTTTATGGTGTAGAACAGTAGCAGTGTGGGCAGGATCTGAGGCAAGGCATAAAAATGCAAAATTAAATCTGAGTTGGAGAGAACAGCAGCTATAGGGAGAACAGGTGCTAGGAGGAAACTGAGAATGAAAGTAAGATGTGGGGGAAATGACAGGAATCTCTGTAATCAATAAAGGGATTAATTTTACAAGTAAATGTACTTTTCCCAAGTCTAAATGTTTGGATTTTTTTTATCATATTCTGTCATATATGCCTCTTTCAAACATATTATCAAAGCACATGTTTCCATTTTGCTTCAGTAACAGGTCCAGGTGGAAGATGGCACCATTCTTCTGCTACTACTTTCTCGGTTTGCTCAAAGGGTAGAGAATTGTCATGTGAAATTAAGATTCTGATATTGTGGATGTCCCATGTGGTGGGTCAGACAGTGCTGACAGAAATTCATTAAAACACCTCATAATTTTGCATGTGACACTACATTGCAATAACAGTAGCATTCAAAGGCCAGGCACCTTTAACTTGATTCCATCTTTTTCACACTGTTGAAAGTCTAATCATGCATTTGCATGCTGCTTTTCTGCAAATTTGTGCTTTGCTTAGCACATATAATGTGCTCTGAGAATGCATTGGCACCATATTATTTTCTGTGATATTGTGTGTTGCCAAGTTGAGAGAACTGCAGTGAATTAGGCAAGAATTGTTTTATAAAAGTCAAACTTTCAGAGTGCCAGTTTTCTGGCCTTTTCTGTGATAGATCACCTTACTTGCTGCTGGTACAAGGACATTTTTGTTCACATATGTTTTAGTTTGATGATGGCACATTCCTCATATTTTGGGGACTTAAGTTAGGTATTCAGACTTCAGTTGCAGGAGGGCTGGTTTTCACAGCTGGATTTGAGGCTCAGCCTTAGTGTAGCAAGTTAACGGTGTTGCTGTAGTGTTTGTCTGTCTACCCTATGCAAAAATGAAGCATAATAATATCAATGTCTTTCAATTGAGTGCTCAGAAGGTAAAATTGATATTATTTCAAAAGATCTAAATGACTGAAGGCACGTGCTTTAAGAATATATGCCCATATCAGGAATGGGAGCAGTCAGAAGGTGAGGAAAAACAAAAAGTACATGAAGAGTATTACATTCAGTGCACAGAACAGCAGGCATGCAATAAATAACACATAAATACTAGGAAAAAAAGCCAAATAGCTGCTCTTGAAGGAACTGTATCTATTTGGGATTCACTTGTGAAGTGTTGGGTTGATAAGAAATTAGTGCAATTTGATACTTAACTATAAATAAAACTTTGATGCTTTTGCACAGGTACTTTATGGGTTAGATTTTGGATTATTTTTTGGATTGTTTTTAGGAAACTCATCTTTATTTCTTTTCCCTTTTTAGGTTCCCCTTTGACTGTTGATAGTCCATATCCTAATCCTAGCTTTTTGACATCTGGACAAGGTAACATCTTTTCCTTATCTGGAGAAACAGATTTGCTTGGGTTTGGGGTTTTTGGGGTTTTTATTGACATTGAAATGAGTAATATTTACCTATTTTTACCCAAGGTTTCCAACCTCCTGCTGTGTCAACTCCCGTATTTCCTGCTGGGAATTCCATGTCTCACCCTGGTGCATCTGTTAGCGGAATGATGGGTCCCGAGATAGTATTTTCTGGAAGACACAACGGCATCTGCATATACTTTGCTCGTATTATAGGGTGAGGATCCTGTCACTCAATTTGTTTCACAGTTTTTCTTTCCAGTAATGCTTATTGGATGTTAAATTCTATTTTAATATCATTTAAATTTGAAATCAGTAAAGTGCATTTTTATATTGTGTTATGAAATACCTGTTGATATAATACATTATCTTTGCAGCCCGTTTAATAATAATACATTCAGTGAATGCCTAGGGCAAGAAGATTGCCTAGACATTGATCCTGCAATCAAATCCATTAGCACAAGTCTGAAAACTGCAGTTCTTGTTTTTCAAATCTATGAGCTCTGGATCCCTTTCCCCCCCATGGCGTGGGGCGGCCCGGTTCTAGTTCCATTTCCATCAGAGGAACCATTCCTATGGAACCATTCCCTATCTTGAAGGATAGGGAAAGGGAACTCCAGCACCAGGGGTTTCTTCAGGCCCTGAGCCTGGAGGGGAGAGGTGCCCTCCCTTTCTCCCCCCACCCACGTGGTTCCATGGCAAGAGACAGCACACTGGCCTGGAGAGGAGGCAAGAGAGAGTTTATTGTTGGGGGTTGTTACATTTATAGGATTTAGGAGGATTCACAGAGTAACCAATTAGAAGTCTCAAGGGGCTTACAGGAACACCCAATCACAGGAAGGGGTTAACAACCAATAGGAAGGGGTTACAAGGGGCCAGTGAGAACACCTCAGGATATCTTCTCAGGACATTCCTGCATGGGAGATAACAGTTGCAGTGGGGGCTATTGGGAAGAAGAAACATGTATTTGCAAGGAGACCACCAAAAGCCATTTTAAGACATGTTTAAACAAGTTTCTCATCAGATTCACTGCTACAATGAGCTGTATGTTTTAAACTCCTATTAAAGTGTGAAACAGAAATGCAGAAGGACCTACAGGATCAAAATCCTGGCTTTAAGTAATTTCTGTTAAGTATCTCTAAAAAGAACACTCAAGTCAGAGCAATGAAGCAGGACTAAAGAGGATTCTGCTACCTGGGTGTTGAGTCCTAAACACCTCAAGCTAGAACAGAGTTCTGCATGCTGATTAGGAAAGAAATTTTTTTTACAAGACTTGTTTATTTGCACTGTATTTCTGGGGAGTGATATTGGCCTGTAGTTAAAATATTTGAAAGTGTCAAATTTTAAAATTTGGGATTTTGTTAATTATTTATATCTGTACTATTCACACTTTTATAATGGTTACCTTTTTGAATATTTGGTTTTCATCCAAATGAAATCCTTATTTTAGACTTTGAAGTAAAAAGCATTGCCATTTCTTTCTTAAGAGATTATACATAGAAGACTTGCAAAAATACTTGCTTAAATTACTTGGCTTTAACACAGAGCTGTTTTGTGTTGCAGAAATATTTGGGATGGCAGTATAGTTGTGGAGAGAGTTTTCAAGAGTGGCAATCGAGAAGTTGTTGCAGTATGTAAAAGATTATTCTGTGTTCATGAGTTTCTTATAGTATTTGTCTTAAGTCCTTTTTAACTTCTGAGGTCCTGTCAGATGTCTTTTTGAGCTATTATTTTGAATGTTAACTTTTTAAGAAAGCTAAATAATTTTATCTCTACTATTTCTAGTTGATAATGGCTGGTTTTCTTCATGTTTATTCATGGCTCTTCCTTCATACCCCCATAGGGCTTCTGCATACCCCCTCCAGACAAACGCTAAAAATAAAATACTTTAGTGAGTTAGGATGGTCATTACTGTTATGGAAGTTATATGCAGTTATGGAAAAAATATCTATGATTTTTCTGACTAACACCTTGCTGTTTAACTTTTTGTCCATGATCATAATAACAAAATCTTTTCGGACTGTAGCTGTTAATAGAATCCTCAACTGAGTAATTTCAGCACTGCAGATTAACTGCTACATGAGCTTTCCTTCTCCTACCTCCTAAGGTAACTGGGAGACTCTGGAAGACCTTGGCAGTTATGCTATGTCTTAGCAATGCTCGACATTGTTCTAGTTTAGAGTTGGAAATAGTAAAGCGTAGCTGATTTAGTTTTCAGAGGGGTAAAGAAAGTAGCATCTTATACTATATATCTTCAGAGGACTGCTGCCTCTTCACATGTGTGCCCCCTCAACGAATGTGGTATAATGTTGTGTTCTTCTAGTGATCCATTACTATTAAACTATTTATTTGTTGTACCCTCTTATTTGTCTTTTTAGTTGACGTTAGCTTAAAATTGAAAATTTTTGGAAAAAAGTGTGAAAACCCAGCTTTCTGTAAAGAAGTTTGCTTTCTTTTGCAGATAGAAAGCAGTGTTCCATCCCGTGTGCTGGAATGTGTGCTACAAGAGCTAAAAGGTTTACAAGAATTTCTGGATAGAAATTCACAGTTTACTACAGTAGGAGCCCTTGGAAACCCAAGGTAATTATTAATTGTGGTAAATTTACTGGTGGTGTTTAATGTCCAGCTTTTGAAAATCTATACTATGCCTGTGTTCAGTTGAAGTGTTTTTATGGTCTCCCGCTTCAACTATTCAGATGCTAAAAATGAGTTGTTAGGTGCATCTTTAGAAGATTCAGTATTTGTATTCTTATTGGCATCTTTTTTGGTTTTGTTTTGGAATTGCAGTTTCAGCACACCAGCCAATCTCCAACAGAGACTCCTGGGTTTTATGCGGCCTGATGGTGGAAGTTCTCAGCAGGTCCAGCAAGAACTTCAAAGGAAGTATCATGGTATGTAATTACTTCTGAACAGGAAGTGGGAGGGCATGGTGCTCTTGGGTGTTGTCTTCCTCACTTTTCTTATGAAATCCTCAGAATAAAAAGACCTTTTTTCCACAGAAATTTTGCATTAAATGATATGCTGGGTTTTTTGCACGCTTACCTGTCTCCTTTTTCTTCTTCCTAATGTGGCCCATGATTCGTAAGATTATTTTATCTCCTCACTATGGTGCTTAATAGCTGCACACCCATTTATACTTTCAGGATAGCAATTGCTAAGCAGTTAGTTTATGAAACAAGTGAGCACGATGTCCTATTAAAAAGAAATACTGTAATGCAAGTTGCCAAAAGTAAAGTCACTAAAATGTCTACAAAACTTTGTTTAGAAATATGAGGTCTGTCACACAGCCCATTTGAATTAATGTCCTCCTGTAGTGCAACTTTTGCCCAGCACTTGCAGGCAAGTTGGGAAGTGTTGCTGCAGTGTATATGGAGTTGAAGATGGTCTGTTTGAGTATAATCCTGGGTTTTCAATAGTGCAAATATATATATTTTTTTTAATTCATTATGTAGGATTTGGTAGACATTTAATAATTTTATTTTTCATTTTTATTCTTTACTCATAAACTCTTTTGGCTTGCTAAATGACACTATATTTATTGTTTCCTCATATATGAACTGTAAGCACTCAAAAGTACAGACATAAATTGTTGCAATTATGTTCCACTCATGTTATAAATATGAATACATTATCCTTTTGTTAATATATCTTATCTGATAAAATGTTACTAGTTTTTGGAGTAGTTGTTGTTTTAAAGATAGTGCAGATAGTGTTGACCACTGCTGTAATTGTAATTGTTCTCGCTAGAACTAAATACAGGTACTCAAATAAAAAGAGAATTGGTATGGATTTATTTTTATTTATTTTATGTTCATCACACATGCATTTATAATAGCTATTTATGAAAAAATAGCCAAAAATTTAAGACTGATGTATAAATCTAGTGTGTTCACAGGAAAACATACTTCTTTTTTAGAAATTATTCCTTCTGTGTTGTGTGGCTTGAAGTAAATGTTAACAGATGGTGTTTCTTTGGGGAAAGAACATAGGGTTAACAGCCTGTCTCCCAAGAGAGCTGGACAGCATTAATCAATAATGGAGAGGGAAAGGAAATTGTTGCTGTAAAACCTCAGAAACTCACACACTAATTTGAAACATGTAGAACAGTTATTTGCTGACAGTCTTTGCTTTTTCAGCTGAGGCACAGCTAACTGAGAAGACTTCACTTCAAGGCATCCAACAGCTTGTTCGCAAAACCTGCCAGGCATTGGCTTTGTGGAAGTTACTGTGTGAGCACCAATTCAGTGTTGCTGTAGGTGAGCTTCAGAAGGTAAGATCTGGATCATATAATTTTAATTTGTTTATACTAATCTCCTGAATTTCCTTTACTACCTAAGTTATTCCCAAAGGACTATTATATTAATTTTAAACCACATATAGATTTTTATTCAGGTCGCAAGTGTTTAAGAGTGTGACATCCAGTATTGACTTAATCACCCAATTTTATGAAATTGGAGGTGTCACTAAAAATAAATTATGTTTTACTTATATTGATGGTTAATAATGAGTCTGGTTGTGTAAATTACTGTGTTTTCACCTTAAGCACATTCTGGAAAATGTGCTGAAAAGGGTAGACTAATGTTTTCCAGCCAAGTGGAATTCACTCTTTGCCTTAGTCTTGGAGGAAGTTGGAGAGCAATAGGGTAGTAGAGTCTTTGCACTTCTGTATAGGTAGGGTTCCAGAATGTACCACAGAACAGCTGAGGTTGGAAGGAATCACTGGAAATTGTCTACCCCCTCTGCAGCGAGGGAGGAGTAATCTAGTTGACCCTCAAAGCAGGGTGAACTAGAGCAGGTTGCCCAGGACTGTGTCCAGTATGGATTTTTGTATCTCAAAAGGTGGAAACTCCACAGTGTCTTGGGGCAACTTCTTGCAGTGTTGAACCACCTTTAGAGTAAAAAGGATTTATATTCAAGTATAATTTCCTTTGCTTCAGCTTTTGACCACTGTGTAGTGTCCCGTTCACTGAGCAGTACTGAGAAAAGTCTGACTCTGACTTCTTTACACCTTCACAAAAATATTAGTAAGATGCCACATACTGCCCCTTGAACCTCCAGGCTAAACAATGCCAGTTCTTTCAGCCTCTCCTGGTTTGTAAAGAAGCAAACTTGCAGAACTATGGGTGCTACTGCTGTGCATCCTTTACTAATGTCAAATTTGTGTCCTACCCTTGAAAAAGCTATTAATTAGAATACTAGGCATTCTGTCCTAGGACTTGATAGGAAAACAGACTATTTGAGAAGTTGAATTCTTTTTCCATAAAAATAATAATTTTAAAATCTCACAGGTGCACAGAAGCTGTTATTCTTCGCACTGTTGCATTTGGGAGCTTTGGGCAGCTTTTATCTTGTGTTGGACAAGGAGTTAACTAACTGTGTAACAATTTTGCTCTGTCTTCAGTAGATGTAGAGGTTTTGTAATGTTATTATGCTGTTAGCAATCATCTATAGACGCTACATAGACACTACTAGCAACTCTATGTGAGCAAATATTTCTATTAAATTAAAAACTAATAACCTTCAAATAATTTATTTTTAAAAGCATAAAGAGTGCAGACCTTGAATTTTTCAAAGTCCTCCTTTTATTGCATCTGTCATTTTTTTAATCTATGACAATAAAATGGTTTTCATTCTTAAAACCTATGACATACTCATTTTGTAGGGTGTGCATTCTGGCAGCGCCCTATGAAGTACGGGGAACTACTAGTTCCATTCTTATTTGGAGAGATCTGAAACAGAGGTTATACATAGTGAAGATGGCAGAGGAAGTCTGCTAAGAGGAGTCCTTTGGCATCCAGGGATCTAGTGCTTTCATTATTCTTTCCATTTTGCTATATAATGTGTGTTTTAAATAATATATTTCTGTGGTGTGCACTTCAGTCATTGGAGTTCTGTATGTTTTTAATTACTGGAAACAATTAATTTTGCTGCTGTAACAACAGAAAAAGTAAAAGATTTGGTAAATTGATGATATTTTGTCTATCTTCAGGAACTTCAGGAACAGCTAAAGATTACTGCTTTTAAAGACTTGGTGATTAGAGACAGAGAGTTGACTGGTGCACTCATTGCTTCTCTCATAAACTGTTACATCAGAGATAATGCTGCTGTGGATGGCATCATTGCCCATTTGCAAGATATCTGTCCTCTTCTTTATAGCACTGATGATGCTGTGTGTTCCAAGGTAAGTGCACTTCCAGATTTTACAGCACCAAAACACAACTTCAGAACATGTTCACACGAGGTAAGTTGGACAGTTTGTAAGTCATTATGCTCAAGTAGTTTCAGAAGCACAAAAAACAATGAAGGCGAGAAGTCATGGGCATATTTGTGTCTTTCAGTTGATTAATGCTGAACATTACATGAAAATTACTTGAAGCATTTGCAGTTATTTGTAATGTTCATGCGATCTCTACTTTTAATCTGATGTATATCTGTCTTCTTATGTTGATGAAATGTTTTCTTATTTCAGGTTTTCCTCAGCATAGGGTCTTGGGTTTTATCTGTTGCATAGTGGAATTTGTAAGAGATAATTGTGTTTAGTTTAATGGAATTTGTAAGAGATAATTGGGTTTAGTTTAATGGAATTTGGTCTTTGAAGGTTTTTGAATAAATTTGAAATAAGGAACCGGTGAGAAGAGAATGGGGATCCCCTTGGTTAAGTCTTCAGCCCTTCTCTCTACTGCTGTTGTAGTCTTTCTGCTGGAAACTTAGTGACCAGAGAGTGCTTTTGAGAGGATGATGTTTCTACTGTTTCAGCTTTGAAGTTTGGAATAATAACTCATTGACATATCCATTTGGATATATGTCCAATATTCATGATGTGCCCTTGTGAATAATTTCCCATTTTCCCATGATTTGTCTCTAGGCAAATGAACTTCTTCAGCGCTCTCGACAGGCTCAGAGCAAAATGGAAAAAGAGAAGATGCTGAGAGAGTCACTGAAAGAGTACCAGAAGATCAGCAATCAAGTAGACCTTGCTAATGTTTGTGCACAATATAGGCAGGGTAAGAGCCAGTTACTGATCATGTTCTGTCAAATAGCATGAAAGGACACTACAGAAACTATCTTCTTTTCTGTTTGTTTTGTTTACCAACTTTCAACTCCTTTTACCATAAACAGTTAGTTAATAACCCTTAGAACTAAACTGTACCAGCCTGTTCTTTTAAAGCCTTTCTAGAGTTCACCAACCAACCAAAAAAACCATTTCTATATTAAAATATTCCCATGAACTTATTTAATATTGCAGTGTCCATTTGTTTCATATATGTGGTTATGATATTTTTAGGAAAATTCTTGGGCTATACGTGGTTTCAGGTAAGGTTTTATACCAAATAAGCTGTTGGAAAGATGGTTCTGAACCCTGTTCAGTGCAGTAGAAGCTAGTAATTTAAAACCATGACAAACAGTTATATCTATATTTAAGATTTCAGCCTCTGTACAATGTTACACATTGTGCAGGACATTCTGATGTAACTTCATATCCAAGTTCAAACTTGCATGTAAGTCACACAGCTTGGGTACAGGTGTAAACCTCTCTATGATACAGAGTAGAGTGAATAGTGTTTATTTTTTCTTACTTGCTAAATCAGAAGTGGTTGATATCACCATTTTGTTGTAGATTTGCTACAATATTGAACAGTGATATTTGTTTTGATTTTTTCCTAGTGCGTTTCTATGAGGGAGTAGTAGAACTCTGTCTTACAGCTGCTGAGAAAAAAGATCCCCAGGGTCTGGGCCTTCATTTCTATAAAAATGAAGAACCAGAAGAGGATGTTGTTGGACTCCAGGCTTTCCAAGAGAGGCAAGTTTTCAGGATAATTTATTATCATTATATGGGGTGTTTTATTTCAAGTCACTGGAAAAGTAGCTCTTTTAGGGAAGTTGTGTAAGGTAATAACAAAACAAGCATTTTATGGTAAGGGACACAATAGAAATGTTTATATCCAGTATGTTCCCCTTGATTGTTATTAATATGGCACCAGCTTAATAAGGAACAACACCTAAAATGATAGATGCAGAAAACATTGTGATCTGAACATTATAGAAACACTTGTTAGCAATATAAATGAGAATAAACTAGATTGTGACAACTATCTATGACATTTTTCAATTTTAGTAACTGTCTATGAAGTCATACAATAACAACACTTGAGAATAATCTTTCATATATAGTTGCAATGAAAATTATGAGACTTTTCTTTTGCTCTGTTTACAGATTGAACAGCTACAAGTGTATCACTGACACTCTTCAAGAGTTAGTGAATCAGAGTAAAGCTGCTCCTCAGTCTCCCAGTGTACCCAAAAAGCCAGGTCCTCCAGTGCTGTCATCTGACCCCAACATGCTAAGCAACGAAGAAGCAGGGCACCATGTAAGAAACTCACAAAAAAGTCATGGCTGCACTCCAGAAAATAGTGTGATTTGAAGGGGTAGAATTTATCGTTCTAATAAAATTATGGATTCGTTCAAAGTGAAGATTTGCCACGAATTGGCTTCTATATCTAGACAATCTGTAGAAATGATGGCACACAAATAACATGTACCAAAGTATTGTCGCACAGGAATTCAGTGCTTAATGTAATGTAACCACATGTGGAATAACAACTTTGGCCTTTCTCTCCCTTAGTTCGAACAAATGCTAAAGCTGGCTCAGCGTTCAACAGATGAACTCTTCAGTATTGCACTTTACAACTGGTTGATACAAGCTGACTTGGCTGACAAACTGTTACAGGTGAGCTCATCTACAGACAGCGAAATAGAAGAGTTAATTGTAACAATGTGAGTGCTTTAAAGAAACAAGGAAGAGCAAGAGTATAAATGTTCTCTTTATGATTTCTGCAGGTTACTGCCCCCTTCTTGGAACCTTACCTGGTGCGGATGACCAAGATTGACCAAAACAAAGTTCGCTATATGGATTTACTGTGGAGATACTTTGAGAAGAACAGGAATTTTAGTAATGCTGCCAGAGTCTTGGCTAAGTTGGCTGACCTGCATAGGTATGGATTATGTGCGATCTGTTGCATATACTGAGGTAACTAGGTAAAAATCAAACAAACTAAAATCAAGACCTTATGTGTAGGTATCTTAAGAAAATGCCAATGCCCCAGGAGGTTTTCTAAAAAAATTTAATAGAATATATTAGCTTTGAATCCAGACAGTTACTGGAAAGAAATTGTAATGTTTATTTTATGTATTATACATGAGTTTGCAATGTATTTCGTGTTGTAAGTACCGTATATTAAGTGATCATTTCTTACACAGACTTTTATAATGCAATAGTTGAACTGGAGCAATGAGTTAAGAAATACATTAGAACTGAGCCTGCAACAAAGGTGGGGTTACATGGATGGATCATATCCTGCACAATTTAGTAAAATCAGGAAAAGCCACATGCTAATTCCCATGGTCAAGTTAAAATGTAACTAATCCTCAAATAATTAGGTAAAGTACCCATCCTGTTTGAAATATTTGTTTTGCAGCACAGAAATTTCTCTTCAGCAGCGTCTTGAATACATTGCACGTGCCATTTTGAGTGCCAAAAGTTCCACGGCCATATCCTCTATAGCTGCAGATGGAGAATTCCTACATGAACTAGAAGAGAAAATGGAAGTAAGAAAAAAAATTAAGCTACGCCATAAATGCATTATTTCACTTTGTCTCATTGGCACATAGCATTTTTATTACCAGTTCTGATTTCTGTGCTGTCTTCCTGATATGGCAAAGTTATGCAGTTGATAGATAATAATGATATGATATGATAATAGATTCAGTGGTGTAAGGCAGTAACATTTCTGCATTTAAATAAGTTAAAGTTTATTCTGGGTGTATTCTTAAACTCTGATGAAATTCCTTCAGACTTGAAATACTGTATTTTCCATTTTAAACAAGGTTGCAGGGATCCAGCTTCAAATACAAGAAACATTACAACGTCAGTATTCCCATCATTCTTCAGTACAAGACGCAATCTCCCAACTTGATGCTGAGCTGATGGATATAACCAAGGTGATTGAAATTTCCCTGTGTTAAAATTCAGTTTATAAAATTTTGGGGGGAAAAAGTGTTTTGCAAAGACTGATCCTATGCTGACTAGGAAAAGTCATAGACAGTTTAGCATTCCTGGTTTCAGAATGTCTGTTACCCTACACTGTCGTTTTCTGTACTTTGATAGTCTTTCAGTCTTCAGTACCTTGGTTTCTTTTACGTGTTCATCTTCTTTATTAAGTCTCTTTCTTTGTTGGTAAAATTGTTGAAAATTTAACAGTTTGAATTTTAACTTCATATAAAATTTGGGATTGTGTTTAAGAAGTGAAACTAAATGTAGCAAAAAAAATTAGTGATTGACAACAATTACTTAAGTTGCACTTCAGCTAATCGAATGTCTACCACACAAGGAACAGCTGACTTTTAGCATTTCTTTTTTAACTTAAATGAAATGTAAAGCCTGGTAATTTTTCTTTCAGCTTTATGGAGAATTTGCTGACCCTTTTAAGCTCTCGGAGTGCAAGCTTGCAATTATACATTGTGCAGGTCATTCTGACCCCATATTGGTGCAGACTCTCTGGCAAGAAATCATTGAAAAAGGTAGGTCTTAGTGGACTAGGAGTGGTACAAACTAGAACTATAGGAAAGTGGTACAGTTATAGCTTTTAAAACTGAGTATGCTGCTGCTGTTATGCTGTCAAAGTGAGATGCATCTTTTTTGGACTATTCTGTAATATATTTCTTTAGTGTAGTTAACTAGTAATTAATTAACATTATTACCTTTGGGTTTTGTGCCTAAAGGACAGAAAAGTGATATTTTTACATGTGTTCGAGTATGTTGTGCATAAGGCTTGAATAATCACATTGCAGATAACATTTCAAAAGTTGTTTCATCCCATGATGCCATTATATGTGAACTTCAGAATATGTGTGAAATTCTGTCTGAAGATTTCACTGTTAAGAAATTATAATAAAAATGTTAAGTGTAAATTAAATGTTAAAATGTAAATAAATTTATAGTGACAAAAATTAAAAAAAACTCAGAGAATTCTGCATGCATAATGTTGACAGGAGTGGAAGTGTACGGTTTCTGTCCATTTATAGAGGAAGAGTAGTGGGCACAGCTCTGCAAGCTTGGCCACTCAGCTGTGACGATCTTTTACCATGAGTTAGTAATCCACTCTCTCTTCCTGTTTCATTGTTTTGTGTTTTTTTCCCCCTTGGATTTTGGGCTTGAGTTTGCCATTGTGCGAACAACATCGACAGGGTTTTGAAGGAAAAGCTATGTGGTAGTGAGTTTGTTGTGGGGTTTGGGGATGTGTTTTTGTTTGGTTGTGTTTTAAGTAGATTTGCATGGAACTTCAATGAAATGTAAACATCTGTGAATATACACTCGAAAAAGTTGTATTTTCACTTCCATGTGCTGATTTTGTATTGACAATAGTATTTTCTGAAGTTCTCTCTGTTTTCTTTCCACTTTCAGAATTGAGTGATAGTGTGGCTCTGAGCCCTGCTGACAGAATGCAAGCACTTTGTCTGAAGTTGACACTGCTTGGAAAGATATATGCTGGCACACCTCGTTACTTTCCTCTAGGCAAGTTGTTTAGCCTGCATACTGAATAAGCATACATGTTACATGAATGGGTTTCAGCTTTCTTTTTAGCCTTTTAACAAAGTTTTAAACTAAGAAATTTCTGTCTGTTTTAATCCTAAAAGAAACAGGAAGTAAATGAAGTTTAGATGGCAGTAGCATTTTATATGGCTGTGCAGATCCCATTTTAGAAAGTAGTAAAGTTTGTTTCTATCGAAGTGTGACATAAAAGTGTGTATTTATATATAAAATTAGGTTTTAGGCAACCACGTTTATCTGCTATCTCTTGAAATATCTGCTGCTGTCTGAAGGGGCAAATTCTGAAAACAGAAATCAGGAAATTTCTGGATCCTTTTTGGAGTTTCTGCTTTTGAGATCCTCACACGTTTTGACAACTTGGTATTATATAAAAACCTGGCAGATGTATTGTTCAGCACTCAATCTTCTTTTATAATACTAAACTACTGTGCAACAACATTCAGTATGAATATTTAGTGCTAAACAATACACTGTTAATTGTTATTGATACTAAAACCTGATAAAAGCTCTAATAGTGTTGCTGGCTGTTCTAGCAAATGTAATGGTAGTATGTGTTTTGTGCTGAAAAAAAAATTAATGAATTTTTTCTTGACAGCATAGTTGCATGGCAAAACTGTAACAAAATCCTTGGTGTGAGTAATTCCTGCCATGCCTCGCTGATAGCCTAATACCATCTTTCCATGTAGTTAAGTTTTGTGTACCCTTCCCTCAGTGCAGACTGAGGGAACCTGTTCCGTGTGCTTCACAGGAGAAAGGTACCAACTGTGTGGAAGAAAGAAAAATTAACCTTGAATAAATTACTTTTAAATGCCTTTCTCTGAAAGACTCCCATTAACAAGTTGCAATCTAAATATTCCCTTTCTTTTTGTCCTCCAGATTTTTTAGTGCAGTTTCTAGAACAACAGGTCTGCTCTTTGAACTGGGATGTAGGTTTTGTAACATACACCATGCAAGAAATTGGAGTGCCATTGCAAAGGCTGCTTGAAGTATATGACCAACTGTTTAAAGCACGGGTAAGGAAAGCAGCACAAAAGAGAAATTCTGTTTTCAGCTGCTATCAAGGTCTGTCTTTAGTGGGAAACATAAAGTAATGTAAGGTGGAATATAGTCAAATATCGTGTTCATAGTTTTGCTTTCTTTACTTAAAGACTGTTAAAGCTGCATTTTCCCCTCCCTGTTTGTTTTATTCATTTCAATCCTAGAGCATGAAGAAATTTTTTAGTTCTTTTACTCCACCTAGAGCAGATATAGGATGAAATAGAATTCTTACATTGCAGAAGGAATAGCATCTATTGAACATATTAATTTTGTTTTCTAATAATGATTAAAATTTGCTGTATTATTGCAGCTTGTCTGATCCATTGATGTAATAAACAAAGAGAATTGATTGGCTTCTTTTTACCCAGATTCCTAGAAATTTAGAACTTTTTATAATCTATTATGTTACGGACTGTTTAGTAATGGAAAACTGAGTTAAATTCATGTATGTTTTAGTGCTTAAAATATTACTTTAATATAGATATAATGTAGATTAAGATAAATAATTACCACAGCTGGCACTTTGTGTACACACCACACACTTTTTTTTTCCTGTGTCCTTACTATTTTTGTCCTTAATATTTTGGATTTTTTTTTTCTTAGGACCCATATTGGAATAGAATGAAAAAGCCTTTACACCTCTTAGAATGTATTCATGTATTACTATCAGGATACGTACAGGATCCAAGCAGAGTAGCTATGAGGTAAGAAGGGCAACTATATCCTAATAAAAAGTGGAAGATATAAAATACTCTAAAATACTGCATTTCAACAATTCCCAAAGCTTTTCTTCTTTTCTTTTGGGTGAATTTAGTATTTTATTCCTAGCAGTGATTACTGGCACTGGCACTCTTCATTCAAAACCATTTGTTATAAACTTTTAGGGTTCTCCATATAAACTGCTACAACAAAGTTAATTTTCTTCACTTCACTGAAGATCCCTGAGGAATTGAGAGGACTATTTTGTCAGTTTTTGGCAACATACTTCAAGGAGTATTATGGAAAAATTTGAGGCAATGTGGGAAAAGTGGGAGGAGAATTCGAAAAGGGCGTTTTGTGACTAAAAAATTGACTTTTTCATGTTGAAATTCTAGAAGCTCTGAGTTATTCTGGAAAAGAGAAGACTCAACACTGGGATAGGTCTTTCCAAATTGTTTTTAAGAGGTTGATGATGAAACAGTCTCCAAGACTAGAATTCAGCTTAGTTCACACCAGGCAAAAATGTGGGTGTAATGTTAAAAAAAGTTTCCAGTGAAAAAATAGCTAAGTACTTGAATAAGTTGCCTATGTATCATCTCTAGCTTTGACAGTTTTTGTTTGAATATGCGAACTTCAATTTGAGCTTCAGTCAGAGCTATCTTGTCTCAAAAATAATGAGCAGAACTAGGCAAAGTCTTCATAAATCTTCTAAACATAAATGTATCTTATTCTTTTGAAAATCTATCTTTTCTCACTTGATCAGTCTTCTATGATTTGCCAATTTAAATACACTAATTTATTAGAATACCTAAACTGAGATTTGATTCTAATTTATTTAAATTGCTATCTAAATTAATAACTAATACATTGACCGTATTCATATCTAAAGTAGTATCTAAATAGTAAATATTTTGTATTGCTAATAACTGTATCATGTTTTATAGTTTATATTTAATATCCAATAAGAAGTAATGGTTCATTTATTTTCCCATTATACCGTAGTCAAAAGCATTAGATTTCAAAAATAATTTTTTCTAATAAATAGTTGAAAACTAAAAGTAGCTGACAGATGTCTTCTTGATGTGTTATTCCATTGAAACTGAAAGAATGCTCACTTTCTGTTTCAAGTTAATTCTAATATACAGGATCAAAAAGGAGCTTGTTATTATTCTGTGTTTTCTTAACAGGCGGAGATTCACAAATGTTTGCTTGGATGCTGTCAGTTGCTACTTGGTTGAACTTCAGTCTATGAGCCCAACACTAATGGTTCAGACAACTGTTGGGAATTTTAAATCTCTACAGGCCAAGTTAGAACGACTTCCCTGATTGACTAGTGCAGTAACAGAATCGTTAGTGCAGGTAATGTAAACTGCACTGAATCTCTGAAAGAACAAATCCTCAGAAGAAAATCCTAAGGAAGTTGTTTCTCCTGCTGGAGTTTTCTATTATGTATTCATGCTATTCTAAAGGTATCTACAAATTGTAGAATGTAAATGTGACAAATGGAGTGTCTTTTACAACTACCATTTTTTTAACAAGAGAAAGCTTTTTTTTAGTGTTGAAATAAAATTCATTGTTTGATCTTTGCCTTGGGGATAAGAATATTTAGAAAATGTTTTTATTTTACTTAAAGTAATGAGGAAAATCAGGATGCAAAATCTACTTGATAGCTGGTTTAGAATTATCAAAACAAGAAATGACAACTGCAGAATGATGATAAAAGTGTATGTAGATGAGTCAGGTTGTAAATGTGGTCATACAGAGGAGTAATGATGCAGTCATAACTACAATAACGAAGATAATCATTATTTCATAACTGTCACTTTAAATAAAGCCTGCCTCTCTAAGTAGAATGTTTGGGATGAAGCTGCAGAAATTGGCAATCTAATTTGTATTGTTAGTGAAAGAACTTTTAATATTGTTCATCAAATTATTTTCCCTATTCCATTCTAATAAAATGTTGTATCTGTTAAAATCAAATAAAGAAGTCATGAAATGACTTCTGTCTACTTTCCTTACATGCACACAAACACCAAATTGTGTATAATCCTAGACTCCCTTCACTTGACCTGCTGCCCATGCTCCTTTGGATGCAGCCAAAGGAGCATGTTTGGCTTTCTGGGCTGTTAGCGCACATGGCTAGGTCATGTCCGGCCTCTCATCTACCATCACCCGCAAGTCCTTCTCTCCAGCGCTCTCAATCTGTTTATCCCTCAGCCTGTGCTTATACTGGGGGTTGCTCTGACCCGGGTGCAGCACCTTGCACTCGGCCTTGTTAAACCTTATGAGATGCTCATGGTCCCAGTTCTCAAGGTTGTCCAGGCCCTTCTTGATGGCATCCCATCCTTCAGGTGTGTCACCAGCACCACTCACCTCAAAATTTGCTGAGGGTGCACTCAATCCCTTTGTCCTTGTCATTGCTAAAGTACTAAATAACACTGGTCCCAACACAGACCCGTGAGGGTTGTCACTTCTCACTGGTGTCCTTTGGGACTCTGAGCCATTGACCACTACCCTCTGGGTGCAACATCCAACCATTTCTTACCCATCTCACAGCCCACCCATCAAATCCATCTTTCCAATTTAGAGAGAAGGCTGCTGTGGTCCCCCCCTGTCAAAGGCTTTACAGAAGTCCAGATAAATGACATCTTTAGGCCTTTCCTTGTCCGCTGATGCAGTCACTCCATCACAAAAGGTCACTGGGTTGGTGAAGCCGTGCTGGCTTTTCTGAGTCACCTCCCTGTTCTCCATGTGCCTTAGCATAGCTTCTGGGAGGATCTTTTCTGTGATTATCCCAGGCACAGAGGTGAGGCTGACAGGTCAGTAGTTCCCAGAATCATCCTTTCTACGCTTTTTAAAGATGGGAACAATGTTTCCCTTTTTCCAGTACCTGGGACTTCACCTGGCAACCATGACCTTTCAAATACCATGAAGAGCGGCTTGGGAACTACAGCCCATTTCCTCAGGACTCTGTGGTGCACCTCATGGGTTCACATACCTGTAGAAGCCCTTTCTAATATTCTTTGCATCCTTTGACAATGTTCAGTTCCAGCTTCTCCTTGGCCTTCCTCACCTCATTCCTACACAGCCGTACTTCATCTCTATACTTTTCCCAGGTGCCCTGTCCTAGTTTCCAATGATTGTGCATTTGCTTCATTGCCTTTAGTCTTAGCACCAGTTCCCTACTCTGCCATGCTGATTTCTTACCCAACTTCTTGCTTTTGGGGACTGCTAGCTCTTGTGCCTTATGAAAGACAATCCATTAGCAGAGGATGGTTTTAATCCATTGACCACTGTGTTATGGGCTCAGCACACTTCCACTGCTCCACTCTGTTCCTCCTAGTGCCTCTAGAGGACATGGGACCCCCACCAAAGGGCCTTGAGTCCAGAAGAGAGGAATGAAAAGTGCTGGAGAATGTGGGCATCAATCCCTCTGCTCCTCACATGATGAGTGCTCTACAGAGCCTTTTCTACAAGATTTAATTACTCTACTTTACTTAGAGTACATTTCTTTCACTCTGACCTAACAGATACATTCTGATGATTTTAAGCCAAAGAATACACTCAGGGAAGTAATATATAAATTAAAATGCATTTTTTTTACCTCTTTAGATCAAAATAAATGTGAAATATTACTATTAGCTTTTTCCTTTGGCAGTGTTAAAATCTCCTTACGAAGTATTTACATAGAGGAAATCCTGTGTGTCCTGAAAAAGATTTGCATCTTTCCATGTAAAATATACTATCTTTAGAGATTAGAAGTTACTTTCTGCTAATAGCTTTGTTTCACAACAAGGGATATTGGATTTACACTGGTCAAGTTAGTGCAGTTCGCTTCATACAAATGATGTCCACAGTCTTGCCTGATGTATTTGACTAAATTTTAATATTTATATGAAGGTATGTTGTTATTCTGTAATATATGTAAGCAGATTTCTATTCTCAGATTTGGAGAACTAACTGAAGAGTTGGGAACAGTCACAAGTCAGAGACTGGAGGTTCAGCTTCTGGGTTTTTTTTTCTCTAGTTCATAGAATAAGGATGCCTCTGGCAACATTACAAGTTTACCAAAGTAAGAGTATTTTAAAGTGTATCACAAGTTACCTCTGATATTTTTCACATGACAGGAGGTAATTGCAGTGTAGACGTTACCTGTTGTTTTCATAACACTTGCTCAGCTTTCAGGTGCAGAAAGGGTAGGTTCTGTTTCCCATTTTAAATCTGGAGGGATGTGAAAAACTAAGATCAGAGGAGACGGGTGGGTTAATGTGGTAGATTAAATAAATAGTGACAATTAGAGGGAAGTAACTGACTAACATGAATGTGAACCAGTTGTCATTAACATTATGAACAAATGTATCATTACTTTTATTGGACTGTTTTCCTTCTGTGTCAGTGTTACTAATTCTCAGTCAAGACTGCGATTAAGGAAAAGTAGCCGAAGGTAGAAACGAGGCAGTTTGAAAGAATAGCTGTTCTAAGGGAATCAAGCACATTTCTTCAAAGTGATGAAACAAAGTGACTGATCACAGAACTTGTATTTCACGTTGTCATGGTTTAACCTCAGCTGGCAAGTAAGTATCAACCACTTTCTCACTCCCACACCCCCCAGTCTTTTTAGGATCACAGAATGGTTTGTGTTGAAGGGACCTTAGAGGTCAAATAGTTCAACCCCCCTGCCATGGGCAGGGACATCTTCAACTGGACCAGGTTTCTCAAAGCCCCATCCAATCTGGCCTTGAATGTTTCCAGCAATGGGGCAGCCACAACTCCTCTCGGTAACCTGTACCAGTGCCTCTCCACCCTCAAAGCGTTTCTTTGTAACATCTAATCTAAAATTTTTCTCTTTTTGTTTAAAACCGTTCTCCCTTGTCCTGTCACTATCCACCCTTGTAAAAAGCCCCCCCCGTCTTGTTTTTAGGCCCCTGTTTATTACTGAAAGGCCACAATGAGGTCTCTCCAGAGCCTTCTCCAGGCTGGACAACCGCAGTCTGTCTTCATAGGAGAGGTGCTCCAGCCACCTGATCATCGCTGCCCTGCTCTGCACCGGCTCTAACAGGTGTATGTCCTTCCTGTGTTGGGAATCCCAGAGCTGGATGCAATGCTACAGGTGGGGTCTCACCAGGGCAGATTAGAGGCGCAGAATCACCTATGTCGTCCTGGTGGCTGCGCTGCTTTGGATGGAGCTCGGGATACGGTTGGCTTTCTAGGCTGCGAGCGAGGCTCCCACCCAGCTTGCCAAGCCGGCGGGCTCAGAAGTGGAGGGGTAGCCGGCGGTTGTACGCGGAGCCTGGCCTCGGGGAAGCAGAGGAAGATCGGCTCTTGTGCGGCGGAATCCTCCCACCTGGACCATCCCACCGGGACCATCCCTCCGGAGCTACGCGGGCGGGGGCAGTGCTGGGGCGGTGCTGCGGCTGCGCCCTGCTCTGGCCCGGCCCCGGCGGTTGCGACGGCGCGGGGGCAGCGGGGCAGAGCGCGGGCTGGGGCTGCGGCCGGGGCCGGGGCCGGGGCCGGGGCCGGGGCCGGGGCCGGGGCCGGGGCCGGGGCCGGAGCCGGAGCCGGGGCCGGAGCCGGAGCCGGGGCCGGAGTCGGAGCCGGAGTCGGAGTCGGGGCCGGGGACGGGGCCGGGGCCGGGGCTGCGGCTCCGGCTATTGTGCCGAGTGAGCATCGCTTTGGGCCGCCGCTCCTCCCGCTGTTCGTTTCCCGAGGGAGGAGCTCGCACAAACAGAGCGGGTTCCCGAGGATGGCGCACGGAGGCGGTGGGGGCAGCTGGTACCGCTCTCCCGTCCCCAGGCGCGGGTGAGCGGTCGGCCCTCCCAGGGGCGTCCCGACCACTGGCATTCCTGATCCCCTGCCCTAGGAGGCTGCGAGGCGTTTTCCCCGTTTTCTGTTTTTAGAGTTCTCAGCAATGTACTCCGTCTTGCGGCTTCTCTCTCTCAACACCTGAATGACCGTGTGATAACGGCTGAACAGCACATCGCCCGTCAGCGGCCAAAGTGAAAATAGAGTATGGGTAAGCATCACCCCTGTTTGTGTTCGGCGGGAAGCTGCTGTAGTCAAGAGTTTGCGCCTGGTTTCCTGCCTTCTGCTCCCACTCCAATATAACAGAAACTTCTGGTCCTTTTTTTGTTTGCTTGTTTTTCCTTTCTTCAGATTCTTTATGAATGTGTGAAAGAGCCACTATTTGCCTTTTCTGTATAATGGTTACCTAGAGACTCGATAAGAATGGAGATTAAGCTCGATGTTCTTATCTCTACATCTATCAAGCAAAGAAAACCGTGGCCTCGCATCTCGTGGGTTGGACAGGTAAGTGTAATGAACTTCTATTTAAATAAAATTCTGCTAAGAGTAGGGTTTCTAATTATATAATACTTTGCACTTCCACTTACTTGAGGAGGGTTTAGGTAAAAAAAAGCCTCAGGAAGTGATTTGAATGCATTTTAAGAGTTATTAAAATAAATGGCTTGGGGTTTTATCCTATTGACATGAGCTTGGAGATTCAAGATTTCTCAGAGAAACAATGCAGAGCCTTTTTTTTTTGTTTTCCTTCACAAAAGACCTGTCGCTTATATGCGATTGTTGTTTTGGTGGTTCTAGTTTTTCATAACTTTTTACAATATGTTGTGGGAAACGTGAACAATTTCTTTTTCCCCATTGCATCCTGCATTTGTTGAAAGACATGCTTTCTTAGACTTTTTCAATAAAACAAGAGTAATTTTTTTTCTCATCTGTGATTGGAATTTAAGTAGGTAGTTTTCTGAGGCCAATTCTTTTTTTTTTTTTAATTGGAATCACTGACAAATATCTCACTAAATTAAACACTACAAGATAGATTGCGTCCAATTTTTGTTATCTTTTTAGCACATAGATTTATTTTGAAGAAGTTTTTAATAATGACTGTAAAATTAGCTTGGTAGTTTGAAACCTGTGAATCAAATTCATCTGTAGGTTGATGCTAGATATGATGTTCCGTAAAGCAGATATGCC